CAGTTCAAAGATCTTGAAAACATTGTACGTTTTCATATTGCAGGTCATATTGAAATGTACTGGGACATATATTGCTTATGTGAATTCCATCTTATCATTCTTCTCCTTTTTCGGGAAGGGCCTATCAACTCAAAACCTGTGCTCCATCTTCTGGTTCCAGCTGCAGACAGATTGCTGAGCTCATTCTAGGTGGAAGCCATGAAGAAACTGAAGCAAAAAAAGGAGAGCAGAACAAAACTTCTGTCCAACAAAGACAGACTGTAATATGAGAAAACTAGCCATAGCAATATATGCACTTTAATAGTTTTCGTCAGTCAGTATTCACTAACTGACAGTATTCACTGGCTGTTACTACTGGACACTGAACAAAGTAATTTAGGAAATTTTTTTAAAAAGAAGAAAGAAAACTTGGCCCCCACCCTCAAAGAGCTGATATAGCAAATGCCTGCATTCAAAATGGCTCTATTGATATCAGAGTGCTTCCTATGTTCCATGTACTGCTCAAAAGACTTTACAAAAATTAGCAATTTAACCTTCGTATCAAGCCTACAGTGTAGGAACTATTATGTTCTCCATTTTACAAAGCATAGAGAGATTAAATAATTTGTCTGAGCTCACACAACTTATAAAAATAGAGTCAAGTTTCAGACTCAAATCCAAGAAGTTTGGCTCCAAGCATTCAGGTTCTCACCCATCATACCACACTCACTTAACTTACCGTAGGAGGACAGGAGAGAAAGATGCAGGTGAGAAGGAGGGAAGCAGGAAGAATGAAAGTGGATAGCAGAGGAGGCAGAAGGTACATTTAGCTGAATGCGATCAAAGAACCATTTCAGAGGAAAAGGAATATGAGTTAAAACTTTAAATTTGACTAATGATCCCTAGAAATAATCAAAGAAGTCTTCTAGACAGTTTGGAAATTTTTTCTCATTTATTTTTCTTCTACTTGTATGTATGTGTGTGTCAACCCTTTCCTTTGTATCAGTTTTTCAGTAACCTGAAAATTCTCACATTTTGAAACTAAAGCTATTCTGTAATTACAATTCAGTTTATCTAGATAATGTTATCATAAGCCCCAAATTACATATATTTTTCTCTCCATAGCAATGATTATTTTGGAAGTTAGTTAAATCCTTTCTAAAACAGCAAAAAGTGTTTTGCTTCTAGTTATATGGGTAAATTTAATGAAAGGAAGGTGTTTTTTTGTTTTATTTTTTGTTTTTTCTTCCTGTTATCTTCAGTTTGGCCAGAATTACCTTACAGTCTCATAGTTGTGGTTTGCATTTCAGTGGTTAGAAAATCTGAATTTCTTTTGCTTGAGAAAGCTGATAAGAATGAAAAATAAGAAGAAAGGATAAATTTCTTAAGGTGTATTTCTAGATAATTCCATACGGACAGAGTAAACGAATGGTATTCGGTAGAACTCAGTATTTAAAATTACAACCTTGGAGAGGGGACATTTTATACCCAGTCATAGGCAAAAATGGCCTCTTCTCCTTTCCTTTCTTCCACCACAACAAATTTCTATGTGAACTGGAAGCCAACTATTTTGAGAGATGCTATATTGAATTGTAGGATAGTAAGAAAAGTCATGTAGCTGATATACTGTGAAGGGAGCAGCTTAACAGCAGCTTTAACTGATAATTCCTAGTTTTCTGTAGGCTCATTAGTGCAAACAGTGTGGAATTGGCAAGCCACTGTCCTAATCAGTACAGTTGTAGGTTAGGCATTAGGCATTAGGGTTTCCAGAAATTGGACCCCAGATAGCTCTTAGAGCTAGAGCCTATGTCTTATTTCACTGTCTTAAACCACTAGAAAAAAAAAAAAAGCCACAGCATGTTTAATTTCACTGAGATATAAGTGTTCAGGAAAAAATATCTTTTAAAATCACTTTTGAATTTTCCTTAATATGTTTAATAATCTCTTGAGAAATCTCTAGCAAGGCAGTCAATGAGAATGTGATGATTGCAAACTTTGGATTTTAATGAGGCATATTTTTGTGTGGTTTTTATTCAGACATCTACAATGTCACAATGTAAATATTAATAATTTATGTTCTAATTTGTCAGATTTTAATAAATTATTTTATACATTTAAATTTTATTTGCTAGAACATGATTATAGTTTTCCACTCTTTGCAGGCTAACTGAAACTTCAGGATTCAATCCCACAGTCACCTTATCCTACTTTGAAATAATGAAAATAATGTAAAAATCAACCAACCATTTCACAACTCATAAAGTGTGAAAGTTTTAGTTAAGTATTCTGGTGACAGCTTGTAACAAAAATAGAAAGTGGCATATCATTAATCAAGTTATTTGATATGTCATAAAAAGATGGAACTGGTGGAAAACATAGCTATTTCCACTGCATTCTCAAGACAGTAATGTCTGCAGGTATTCTTCTGAAGCCTTCGTGCTGAGGATGCTTTTGTCCAAAGCATTTTAAGAAGGTCTCCTGTGAGCCCTTTTCATTAATCACCAGCGTAGTCTACACGGGAGTCTCCTGAAAGGAGTGGAGGAAAGTCTTGTGTTGAGAGACCTTCAGAAACAGATGACAAGAGCACCCCCAGCTCCGAGACGGGGTCATGTAGAGTGGAAATATGAGCTCCTAACCCTTGACCTCCCTGCCTCTTTATTTTGATTCCTTTAACAATACAGGGTTGGCAGGCACAAGCAGTGGCAAGTCCTTGCCTCTTTTGTTAGGCTTGGGAAAAACTCGGGGCTGCTTACTGTGACTCCCACCTAAGGGCTTGCCTGGTTTTTAATTAGAATTACAACTCCCACCATATTTTTTCAAATCGTGGTTTTTAAAATGATCCAAGCAATAACACATTTCTCAAATTTCCATAGCCAAATGAACATAAGTTTACAAGGAACTATTACTTTGTAAATAGGATTTTTCTGGCAGATCTGTTTGGATATTTAAAATTGTATTTGTTTCGTCCTCTATAGTTAATGCCTTTTTGAAGTGATTTCGTAAATGTTAGTGGTCACAGATCATGAAAGGACTTTAAGAAGGGATACCACGGATCTGGAGGAGCAAGATTAACTTTATCCATACACGTTTTTACAGTCCTGGAGAAATAGCAACAAAATTATTACAATTTCCCATCGAACTTCCCATTTAAATGTAACCTTATAGTAAAAATTTTAAAATATGACTTCTTCTAAAAACACACATTATTCTAATTTAATAATCAAGTAATTTGGTCCCTTTACGCTTGATAAATTCTGGGATTCTAAAACCTTGTCTATTTGTTGACCCAATCAAGTAAGTTGCCATGGACTTTTGTCCAAAGAAAATTAAAAATGTAACATACAAAGAAGCTGTGAAGCAAATGTCACATGGCTTTGGTTCTAACAATTCAAAGAATAAGCAGAGAGTTAATAGTCAACTAACATTCTGGTACATAATACTTGGAAAAAAGATCCCAATTTTCTATTTTTTTAGTAGAACAATACTTGTCCCTGTATCCTTCTTCTTTTTCTATCTTCCTCTACCACTTCTTCCTGTTCCCACACAAACAAAAATATTGAATTCAGTTTTACCCTAGTTTTCAGTTAGAATTGTCTTACTCGTTAGTATTAACATCCCATACATAATCTATTCAAACTTTTTAAAAAGTTACTTGGGGTTATTGTGAAGCTGATGATGGAAAATCTAGCATCAAAAGCAGCCAAAGCATTTCCACTTATTTAATTTCAGCTCAGGTTCTCATACAAGTGTCACAGTTGAATATTTTTTTATGTGGTTGAATTTTAACTATTAATTTAGCATTTAATGAGACTTTAAAATAGATTTTGCAATAGTGTTGTTTGAATTTTTTTAGGCTACTCATAAAAGTTAAATAACTACTTCCTCAATTAGTTTTATAACCAAAAAATAAGTTAAATGTAACACTTTTTTTCTCCTCAGGACTCATGATCCTTGGCTCAGCCTCTTGGAGGAGTAGAAGTCTGAATTAAGCAGTTTCTCATTCGTGGGAAACAAACCATGTCTATCAAAAGATTTTTAAGTGTGCCATCTTTTCACCTCAATGAGATATAATAAAAAATCTACAGAAGCCATATTGGTGGAGAAGATTATGAAATTTAAGGTGAAATATCCAAATGTGCAACTCCCGAAGAAAGGTTGAAATGAGGGCCTGGAACTGGAGAAATTTACACATTTATCTCTCCAAAGATAAGAGCCAAACTGAGGAGAAATGACATGTTTGCGAGGGAGATATTTTGGAAAAGAAAGAAAAGATGTCTAAAACATATGACTGTAATTAATATCTCTATATATTTGACATAACACAATATTAAAAACCAAACACTGCTTTTGCCAGATTTGAAAATATCCTACAGCATCTTTAGTTTTAAAATATGTTCTCTATGTTGACATATTCCTTCCCTTAATATAATCCGAAAGATTTCATAAATCAAAAGATGCTAATAATGTCTGCTGATGAAAAATATCAATAATATCATTTCAATTTGGGGGGGGAGTTCCATCCCAAAGATATCTCACTATGTGTATGCAAATATTCAAAATCAAAAAAAAAATCTAAAATTCAAAACACATCTGGTCCCAAGTATTTTGGATAATAAATACTCAACCTGTATATCCAGAAGTATGATTGCTGGATCATATGGTAGTCCTACTTTTCATTTTTTGAGGAATTTCCACACTGTTTTCCAAAATGGTTATTCCAATTTACATTAGATATGCAACTTGATAGCAGAAACAAATGACCTGATGTAAACATTGGGAAAGGGTCTGAATAGACATTTTCCCAAAGATGTTCAATACCATTTCAGTTTTTTTAAAAGACACATTTTTCTGTTAAGTAGAATTCAAAATTGCCCTATCTTGCCTGTGCTTGCTATTCCTTCTCCACTCTACGTTAGAGCCATCCCTCTCTTATTATTTCTCTTCCATTTGTCTTTAGCTCTTCCTCTTCTTCCTCACTGGCCAGAGCTGTGTCTCCATCAACATTTAAAAATGTTCACATCTCTCCAACTGAAAAACAAACAAATAAAATAATTTCCTTTCTCACTCCAGCTTCTACCATATTTCTCTCCTTTCTTTTACAGCTAAAATTCCTAAAATTAGTGTCTGTAATTCCACACACCACTTCATTTGCACCCTTGACAAACAGACTTCTGTCTCAGCAAATCCAATGAAACTGGAATCACTAACAACTTGTTGCTAAATTCAACTTACCTCTATAGCATTTGATATGGCTGACCACTTCCTCTTCTCTGGCCTCCACTGACAAGCACACCCTGCTGAGTTTCTTCTGCCTCTTTTTTTAAACTTTATATTTTGAAGTAATTCCAAATACATAAAAGTTTCAGGAATAGTATCAATATTTTCCTTTACCTAGACCACATTTGCATGCACATGCCCTCTCTTTCTTTCTCCTTTTCTAGACAGACAGATAGTTAGACAGATAGATATAGACATAGAAATGCTCATTTTGTCTGAATCTTTTGAGCTCAGGTTATGCACATCATTCCTTCTTATCCCATGAAACTTCAATATCTATTTTCTAAGAATAAGCATAGCTCTTACATATCTATGGTATTATTATCAAATTAATGAAATTTAGTGTTAATATTAAACTATTATATATAACATAATCCATTTAAAAAAATTTTTTATAGAATTTTTTCCAGGACAGGATTTCCTGGTATAGAATTGCACAATACATTTAATTGTATGTCTCTTTTTTTTTGTCTATTTAATATGGACTAGTTCCTCTGTCTTTCTTTGATTTTCATGTGGTTGATATTTTGAAGAATATGAGACAATTGTTTTATATAATGTCCTTCAATTTGAGTTCTCTGGCATTTCCTCAATATTGAATTCAACTTTTAAACATTATGGGCTTGAATGTTGCATAAAGACTGTCATATGCTTTTCAGGATATCAAATCTGGTGGACCATGATGTTCATTTGCCCCTTATTAGTGATATTAATTTGGATCACTTGGTTAAAGCTTTGTCCAATTTCTCCAAGGTGTATTTATTATTTCTCCCTTTGTAATTATTGTCAAGTTCCATTATTCATGGTAGTTATGTTCTATAAAGTTGCTGTGAATACTAAATGACCAAATACTGAAACATTGCTAAATCTGGGTCAGGTTCTGGTAAGCTTCTAATCACAACATTTTTGTCAGCCAATCAGTACATAACTTTGATTTATGTCTGTTTTTGTTTAAAGACACCTTATTTATTAATAATATAGTCAATTCATTAACATTAAACACACAGCCAACAGCATTGTAACTCATCCCTGCAGGAAGCTTATCTAAGACATGTACTATGTCTGTAAGGCACATCACACCTTCTCATACTTTGGAACACTAGAAAGAGAGTTCATCACTACACTTTGGGGCCACTTTAAACAGCAAAATAACCAACAAAAAGCACAAAAACTCAAAAACCTGACACTAAATATACTTTGCAGAAATGCTTTGTTATAGAAGAGCTGAAATAAGAAGATGGAGTGCTGCCTTGTTTCACCTCAGCTGAGAACATGTACATTAGGCAATTCAAATCTTTCACTGCTCCTGCATATTCATAAGTAACTTCAACATCCATGAATATTGTTTGGGGGGTTACAAATAAATTTTAGCAAGGAAGTGAATTTGCAAATATGGAATCTGTGAATAATGAGGATCAACTGTAATAAATAATGTGTGGGGCAATTCTTAATATTATGTAAATATTCTGAACCTCATTTAACCTCCCTCGTCACCCTAGGTATACCATCCATTTCTTTCCTTAATCAATTTTTACAATGCTAATTGCAAAATGGTGATTTTTAACTCCATCATCTTTCTATATTTATTATTCAGCACTTCCCTACAAGGAACAAATTTCCTTTCTCTTTTTGTCTATCTATTATTATTATTATCAATAGGGGATCATGAAATCTAATTTTATTTAATGAGTTATAATATATTACTATTGTTTGTGCTCATGGAAGTTTCTTCAAGTTGTCTCCTGGATCCTTGTGCCATTTCCACATCAATTTTTCAGTACTTCTTTCTGGCACCAGACGTACTTCAAGGTCATCTATCTTCCCTTGTCTTGAAGTCAGCCATTTTTCCAAGGGACTCTGGCAAGGAATGGTCAGTGCAGAATGCTTCCTCCTTTATTTGATGCCCTTTCTCAGTCTCTTAATAGGCTGGTCTTCGTCTGGTAGCCTTTACATGCAGGGGTCTTTAAGTTTCTGCTCGAGGCCTCTCTTCTTTTCACTAATAATTTTGTCTCTTCCATGGCTGTGTCTCCCATCCAGCTTCAAAGTTCGCTGCTGTATGTACACTTGTAACTAGTGCAGCTAGTTCCTGAAATGTCATGGGTAGTCAATGAAGGAACGCTTTTATGACAATGAGACACAGATTAAATCACCCTAGATTGTTCTTTTACTCTGTGTATTCTACTTTTGACAGCTATTATCTGGCCTTCGGGATATCTGACATATGTGATAATAATTCATCATAGTGTTTCTATTGTTGTACCTTTCTTATTTCTATAAGTATTTTTACTATAAATTTTTAATAGATTCTTCACCAAGATCAACAATAGGATTGCTAGATTTAATACTGGACACCAAGTGAAATGTGCATTTCAGGTAAACAATGAATAATGTTTTAGGAAAGTATGTCTCAAGTAAGTTTTAAAATTCCACTATTTATCTGTAACACAAATCTGACTGGTGTCCTATATTATTTGTTGCTAAAACTGGCAGCTTTACCAATACATTATAAATATTTCTCCTCAATGGAGTATAAACTATGAAGTGCTTATGGTACTCTCCAAATATCTAGAAATAAAAGTAAAATTGTTTTGAAAATGTATCAAATGGCATTACACAAAAGAATGAGAAAAGAAGACCTTCCATTCCTGACTAGTATACTTTGACATTTCATAAATATTCCTCTTACTTATAATTTAATTTAAATTTCAAAAGTTTTAAAAACTATGTGTAAATAAATGTAAACATTATTATAACTATGTGAATCATTTTCAATGGTGCGATTTGCAGAGGATGTCAGGTAATAGGGTTCAGGGTCTCCTTAGTCAGCACCATGCACAAAGTCAGCACTCTCAAAGGGAAGAACTTTGCTTCTAAAGTATATAAAAAGGTTTGGACAAAACAAAAAACTCTTCTAGGTAAATAGGAAAACAATGCTAAAAGGCAAGAAAGTGAAAAGTACACACAATGCACGCAATTTAGTTCCTTCATTACATAACCTCCAAACCTAGTATATGAATTTTTATAGTAAACATAAAGATGGTTGAGGTTAACATGTAACCACTGATGTGGATGAATAATGTGATATCACAATCAGTTTATTTGTTTTATTACCAAGTGGAGAAAAATAGCCAATTAATTCAAATATTATTTTAATGGCCTTTCCCAACCATACTTAGGAATTTCAATACAATCCTATCAAGCTCTTCCTTTTTACTGGTGTGTACTTTGAGTTTAGTTAAAAAGAAAAAAAAAATCTAGTTTTAAGGGTTTCAATTTCAGTGTCCAGTTTAAGTGGGAACTATTCTAGGTTTTTAGTTCACTAGGCATGAATATTTCCTGGTAAGTTGATGAAGTTTGGTAAGTTGATGAAGCTCTGCAAATTTGTAAGATTTGCACTGCTGTAATAGGTAGAGAATTTAGGGGTCTGAATGTTATAGAGAATTCAATTCCAGTGTTTATAACAAAGAAAAAGAAATAATAAAGAATAAATAAAAATAATAGAACAAATAAATAATAAAGAAAAAAACAAGGGATATTCTCTCAATACATGTAATTAAAAAGTTGTTATGGATAATAATTTTTAGGGGTGGAATTAGTTCCTATCTTTGCAAGAAGTTTAATTTAAAGTTCATTTAGTTTATACCTACTTCATTCATAACCAAGAACTGTATACTCCTATTGTGGACAAAAAGAATAATAAGACATGGTGATACCCCCAAGCAGCCTATGTCTATTGACAGGCAGTCATAGTCCTGCAAGGTAAACAAGGTAAAGGTTTTGTAAATAGCTCTACTCAATAAACTTTAAAGTTGTAAATGAATTTTGGTATTTAAAAAGATGTGCTTTAATTTCCTTTTCAAGATATTACTTAGTTCAGGACTGGCTTACAGCAAGTAGAAGGAAGTGGTAGGTAGAATTTGTTCCTTGGTTTTCTTTTTAAAAGACAAGTGAAGAGCTGAGCTTTTATATTCAGATGAGACATGCTTGACAATTCCAAAGAAGACTAATGAAGTCTCAATTTCATAAATCATTAAAATGTTTTCCAGTTTGAGGGATTGTGACACTTAGCTACAATGCAAAAGATCTGGTAATAAGAATCTTATACATTTAGTGCTTTTTTCAAGATTTGACTATTTAGCTCACACTTCCCATAATAAAGTTCTTGATGAGGTGTTGTTTTAAGAACAGAATCATAGACTAATTTATCAAAACTTTTTGCTGCATGGTGCATTCAAAACAGAAACACCTAAAAAACACCCAAATGTATATACTGAAAAAAAATACTTCAAGAAACTGGGATAGAAGTTAATTAATTTTATGAATTAAGCCAACTATAGGAATGTCTTATTGCCAAAATATTCACTCCACATGGGGGCTACAAGACGATTTTATCTTTTACCTGATTTCAGTAAAATGCAGAAGACATGCTATAGAATTAGAACTGGCTATCTGCTGTTATCAACGTACATATTGGATGTTTCCCACAAAGAGCCCGATGAGTCTTTTAGCTGACATCATTTTCATGTACAGAAAATCCTTGCCACCATCCAGTAAACAATAGCACTTGGTGTATCTTTTCTAAACTCATTCAAAACATAGGATTAATATCTACACATAAGTGTAAGTCAATTAATTGCAATTTTTAATTAATAAAATTTTGCCTTCTATTTTTATATTAATTCTCAATGCTGTAGCAATTTCAAATCTCAAACTCTGGGGAAAAATAACTGAGACTGTGATTCAAGTACCATTCTCAAGAAAATAAAGTTCATCATTTTGAGTTTAAAAAGAATTCCTAAAATATGCTTTAGCATTTCCAACTAAATATAGCCAAGAAGATAATGTCTCCCAGTAGGTAAGGAAGTGACAGGTGTGGTGTACAGATCTGGAAGTAAAGTTTGGCTGCTTTTTTCCTTAATCATGGGAGATGGCTTCTTTTCTACAGTGGAAATATACTCTATAAAAGTCAGCCAGAATCTTAGAAACATTCATTTGTAAGCACATGCTTTTGACAGTTGGTTTGTTGAGTAAATTAAGGGAATAACAATTTAGTTTCTCAATGTGCAAACATAATTTTCAGTTGAAGAGCTTTCTCAAACTTAGTTTCAGAATGTGAACAGTGACAGAAGACATGTCCAAAGTTTTCCTTTTTTTGGCATTCTCATTATTAGGGAGGTTGTATTGTAGGCATGTGGTTCATATTCAATCTGACAAGTCATGTAGTGATTAAAAACTGGAATGCTTTGACAGCAGGGTGAGCATGAGGATCAGTTGCCAGTGTAACTCCTCATGATTGGGAGAACCTGGCAAATGACTAGGATCTGGTCAGGGGGAGTCTTCAGCATCAATGCACAAGGCGGAGAGCACTGACGAGTCCCACCAAGACAGCACCTGGGGATGGCAGATGCACTGACCAGTTTTACTTCTTGCCAGTATTTCCCTCGTGCCATTTTCCAGTAACAGTAAAACGGAAACTGAGTTTTTGAAGCCTCCGGATGCAGATTTTAGGATTATTTCTGGAATTCAAATAGGGACCGAAATACAATTGAATGTGTGTGTGTGTGTGTGTGTGTGTGTGTGTGTGTGTGTGTGTGTGTGTGTGCATGTGCATATATGCAGATAGATAATACTGTCCTACAAAAAGATATTACATTGCTAAAGCTATTATATCTCTGTGTAAAATTTAAGAGTGGAAAGTTGAGTTCTAATTCTTATTCATGTTTATTCAAAATCAATCATCCAGATTATTCTTTTATCCACTTCTAGTTCTCTCCACTTCTACTCTAAATTGAAATTTACTTTTGCTTCCATCTAACATACATCTTTGTTAATGACATATGGTATTTTGCTGGTGTTGATTGATTTTCATGGCCATGAGAAAGCATCTTGCTGAAAACTTCAGGTTTAAAATTAATGCTTATTATAAGGATAAGGAACTGTTTCATGAGTTTTTTGTGTGCATATATATGTGAATAAATTGGTTTCTAATTAACACTGAAAATTCTTTCAGGAGCCCTACTATTTCCTGAGAGCAATTGAATCCATGAAGTATAAAGCAAAGAAACCAAAGAGAAAAGTTCAGAGAAGGAAACATATAAACTTTTGAAGGAAAAAATGTAAATATTATTTGCAATATTAGAATCCATATAATACATAAAACAAATTTTATAGACTTGATTTTTAGCAGTATTGTCTGTCAGGAACACTGTTAAAGTTATAATCTACAACTTATTAATATTTTAGACTTCGTATAAATTATTTTCAGGTTACATTTCATTGAAACAACATTACAAATAAATATTGCATAGACTAAATTGGCAATTTGACAAATGTAACTTATTATTTTGTTCTATAAATTTTCTGAATAAGGTAAACTTGTACCTTGGAAATTACCACTGGTAACTCATTGTGTGTTTTAGGTATTATTATGAGCTCATATATATATTTTTTAAGGTAAGAATTCAGTGGATTCCAGTATATTTACAGAGTTCAGCTATTGCCATAATCTAACTCTATTATAGAACATTTTCATAATCTCAGAAAGAAAACTTTACCCATTAGAAATCATTTCCCATTCTCCCTACTTCCACTTTCAGCCTAGGCAATGACTAGTCTACTTTCTGTCCCTGTAGTTTGCTTATTATGGACATTTCATATAAATGGGATTATACAATAGATAATGTTTTGTGACTTATTCTTTTATTTAGCATAATATTTCTGAGGTTTACCAATGTCATAGCATCTATTAATACTTCATTCCTTTTTATTGATAAATTATGTTCTATTAGTTTGTTTATCCATTTACCTATTAATAATAATTTTGATTGTTTTGTGTTTTAGCTATTATGAATAATGCTACTATGAAGCTCCATGTACAAGTTGCTGTGTGGGCATGTATTTTTATTATCTTGGGTATATAATTAGTTGTGACATTCCTAGGTCATATGGCAACTCTATGTTAATATTTTCAGAAACTACTAAACACTTTTTTCCAAAGTGGCTACCAGTTTTACATTCCCACCAGCAATGAATTAGGTTTCCAATCCCTCCACATCCATGCTAACACTTGTTATTGTCTGCCTTTTTTATTATAACCACTCTTCTGGGGCAGAAGTGATATCTCATTATCATTTTAATTTACCTTTCCCAAATGACTAATGATGTTCAATGTCTTTATCTGTGCCTATTACTAATTCACAAACCTTCTTTAGAGAATGTCAATTCAAAGCTTTTGCCCGTTTTCATAATTGAGTTGTCTTTTTATTATTTTGTGAGGGTTCATTATATATTTTGGATACATATGCCTTATGAGTTGTATGATTTTCAAGTATTTTCTCACAATCTGTGGATTTCCTTTTCACACTCTTGATGATGTCATTTGAAGCACAAAAGTTTTTAACTCTGATGAACTCCGATTTATTGATCTCCTTTTTATTGCTTATGTTTTTGGTATTGGATTTAAGATTGTATTGCCTAACCCCAAATCCTGCATTCACTCCTATATTTTTGTCTAACAGTGTTATAGTTTTAGCTCTTACATGTAGCTATATGATCTACTTGAAGTTGCTTTTTGTATATAGTGTGAGATAAGGATTTGAATTCATTCCTTTGTATATGGTTATCCAATTGTCCCAACATCATTTGTTGAAAGAATATTCTTTTCCTAGTGAATTGTCATGGTCCTTGTGTCAAAAATCAACTGACCATAAATGTTAATGTTTATTTCTGGACTCACAATCTATTTCACTGATCCATAAGTTTATCATTTTGCGAGTGCCATGCTGTATTTATTAACATAATTTTGTAATAAGGTTTAAAATTGGAAAGTATGAATCCATGAACTCTGGTCTTCTTTTTCAAGATTGTTTTGGCTGTTGTAAGTCTCTTGCATTCCATGTTAAATTTGGGATTGGCTTGCCAATTTCTGAAAAAAAAAAAATCAGCTGACATTGGAGAATTGTCAATGAAGTGGAGAATATAGAGATATTTCCATATTTGCTGTATTTCTATAAATTTCAGCCATGATTTCTTTTAATGTCCAAACTATCCCATTTTATACCAGAAGGAGTACTTTGAAATTGGCTCCTTATCCTTTTGACATATGTTTGCTTAATAATCTTTGAGGACTTCCCTTTCTTTCTGGTATAACAAATGTTCAGTTTTTATTTAGACATTCCCTGGCTCAGCTCCAGAATCAGCCATTCTCCAAGGAAACCTGGACCCTGGCTCCTTTCAGTGGCAAATGATATTCAGACCACAACCTGGGTGCTAGGGATGCTCATTGCTGTAGCATTTTCATGATTTGTTTTTCAGTGACAAAGGTAGAGAAAAAAATATGTGTGTATATATATGTATATATATATACACACACAGATACACAATAAAAATAAATTTGTATTAATAGTGATATTTTGAATTTAAAGTTATTATAGAGATTTACTTAGCTTCTCTAATTTTATAAGTTTATCTTTTTAATATCAAAAATGTATAGTTTCCAATGATATTAACATAATTTATTCCAAATGCACCTATAAGTTCAAAATTAAAATATGAATATTACTAGTAAAATTAAGAATATTAAGTAAAGTCTGAGTTTTATTTTAATCCTTTGAGTATGATAAACCAAGTATATCCAAAGTACTGTGTTTCAAAGTCTGTTTTCTTCGTGGTTATTTCACCAGCTGATATAAAGTTAGGTTCACTTGGTTCAGTTGTTTTTTAATATTAGGGAATTTTTACATGTAAATTTGGTTTTCAATCATGTTAAACAGTTACACAATTCTATAATAATATATACTCACAGAAGGTTTTCTTCCATCCCTGTCCCATTCATTCTGGCTTTTTCCTTCCCCTAAAAGTAATCATATTATTAATTAAAATGTTATTTTTCCATATTTATTTTTTAAATATAAGCAAGTAATCCATATAAATATTCATATTTCCACCATTTTCTCAGATAAAAATCAGAATATTTGCTTTTTTCACTTAACAACAGAACCTAGATAAAACTCTATGTCAGTAGGCAGGTATCTTCCTTATTCTCTTTGCAGTTGCAAAGTTCTCAAATGCATGGATCTACCAAGCAGTCTCCTACTGATTGATATCTGGGTTGATTATGTTCTTTGGTCCGATAAATAATTGTGAAGTCTTCATTTTGCATTATTGCCAGTTTACCTTTGAAATACATTCTTAGAGATGGTATTGCTGTATATAGCAGGCACAATCTGTGCCCTCTCTCCCTTCCTCTCTCAGTTTCTGTGAGTCTGCCTGCCACTGTCACTGGAGGACTGCCCTCAGGCTACTGGAGCAGTTTTGTCTTGCATGCTCAGATTGCTAGAAGTACCTAGGAACACATATCTTTCCGGGGTGAGTTTAGCAAACTGATATCAAAGCCTAGCACCTATGCCACAGGCACCCCTGTGAAATCAGGCAGGAGCTTCTCTCTGAAGATTTTGCCTGAAACTGAACCCTTGCAAGGTGTCTTCATCTTCTTTGGCTTACTCACTTGGCTCTGTCTCTTAGGAGCACTTCCTTAATTACACATTTGTATACGAATCTTCATTGGAGGGTCAGCTTTTGGAGGACTAGACCCAAGATTCTGATTATATGTAATTTTGTGAGATAAGATCAAATTCCCCTCTATAAAGGATTCTATCCTTTTGCATTCCCACCAGCCACACACAAGAGTGCCATTTTTTTCAGAGCCTCACCGACAGAATGTAATTTGAAATTTTCAAAACAGCTATACCAGTTCACATAATTAGAACTTGTAGTCTTAAAAAATATTAGAGTTATTTATACCTTCTATTAGATGCCAGCTTATCATAGTAAAATATAATAGGGAAGCCCAAGGACCAAAGGCATTGTCAATAACCAGACAACATTTTTCTTCTAGTTGGTCTCTCTCAACAAACTGAATAATTAATACCAAAAGAGAAACAGATGTCAGTTAACCCACAAGCACTTATTGAACAACTAGAAAGGATCTAAACTTAAATAGTAACCATCAATAAATTACAATGGGAAGAGTACAGTTTTTAGATTAGGAGGAAGATGTTAAAACAAATAAAAAATACTTGAGGTTTTCATCATATATATATATATATATCTTGAACAAATAGAAAATCTAGATTTGTAAATAAGAGATTGTTCAATAATTTTTATTTCAGAACAATTTGCAAATGAGACATAAGATCATCAGCTCTTATTAAACACACTGAAAGAGTTAGAAAGCAAAGATCACTAAGTTTGTAACCACAGATCAAGAGATCAAGCAGCAACAGATAAAACTAATGAGACAAATATGTACATACTTGCTCCATTCTACAGCATTATGATTATATGCCAATAAGACATCAGCAGAGTCACATAATCAATGCTTTATAAGAAAATCCATATTATGCCCTTAGAAATAAAAGGGGAAACTAAATACTAAGAAAATGCAATATAATAACATGACAAGTTAGTCACATTCTTAAGAACTGCAAATATTTTGTATTCAAATTACAATTTAGCACAAATTTTAATTCTTTTTTTATTCGAGAAATATTTACTGAGCATTACCATGTACCAGACATTAACTTAGATGCTTGGAATATTATCAGCACATAAAATGGAGATTCTAAGGAAACAGATATTAAACAACCCATGTAGTAAACAAATAAACTATGTAGTTCATTATAAATTGATAAGTGCTAAGAAAAAAACCAATAAAGTAAGGCAAGGGGGATTTGAATTGTGGAGTGAAAATTTTCGATTTTAGATTGGGTTGTCATGGCAGATCTCACTGAGGATGAGACATTTGAGTACCCTTGAAGGAAGTGTAAGTGTTAGCCACATGGCTATCCGATGAGGGGCCTCCCAGGCAGAAGGAACGGCTGGTGCCCAGGCCTCAACTCAGCAACATGGGTAGTGTGCTTGAGGAATAGCTAGGAGGCCAATGTGATTGTAACAGAATGGGAGAGAAATGAGAAGGAGCTGAGAAGAGCTAGAAATAAGAGGCAGCAGGTTCTTTGAGGACTTTTATGCCATTGTAAGTATTGATACTTAGCTATTTGTGATGAATGAAATAGAAACATTAAAAGATTTTGAACTGAGGGATGATAGGCTCTGACTTAAATTTTAACAGGAACACTCTGAAATGTTAATATATTAACATTGGGTGGAGTGAGAGGCAAAGATAGAGGCAAGGATAACAGTTAAGGGCCTATTACAGTATAGTAGTCCCTCCTATCTGTAGGGGATGATTTATGTCCCAAGTAGGACAGAATGGGATGGTGCAAGATTTTATCATGCTATTCGAAATGGCGTGTAGTTTAAAACTTATGAATTGTTTACTTCTGGAAGTTTTCATTTAATATTTTTGAACAAAAGTTGGCTGTGGGTAACTGAAACTGTGAAAAGCAAAACCTGGAATAAGGAGAGGACTGCTGCATCCAAAGGAAAGATGGTGGTAGCTGGGACCAGAGAGGAGCTATGAGTTGAAAGCTTTGATTCTGAATGAAGTTTAAGATAGAGACAATAGTAACTCCTACCAAATTTTGTGTGACGTGAGAGGGAAGAAGAGGAGTTAAAGATAACCTCAAAAGTTTTTGGTTTGATCAACTAAAAGAATGCAGTTGCCACAACTGCATGCAATGGAAAACACTGCCAGTAGAGCAGTTTTGAGGACAGAGATAAGTCTTAATTGGGTTGGCATGAAGTCTAAACTCAATGTTCGCATTACAAAAAATGCATAGCCTCTGAGATTAAAGTTCAAATTATAATTCCATTTAAATCAGGGACTATATCTAACAGCTTTCAAAATCCCACAAAATATGTACTGCTGGACATTAACAAAGAAGATGTAAAATGAATATTTGCTGAAGGATTTAAAATATACTCAGTTCTTCAACCTTTCTCTCCAAAGTGTGTGTAAAATATATGAATATAGTCTCTCTCAAACTCATTGTTCAATACTATGTTTATTCTCTAAGTGTTTAAAGTGATGAAAAATATTTTAAAATCTGGTAAAATAGCCAAACTTATAATCTTTATAAGATATTATCTTTTAACATGGATTTTAAAAAAATACTATAGGATGTATATATAAGTCAACATTTTCATCAATAGTTTTTCTTTTAATATAGACAGATATAATTCATTTAAGAATGTATTTTTATGAATGTACTTCAGCAAAAATAAAATAGATTTAAAATGTATCTTTAGGTTTTATAGCCATCCATTTTACACAGAATTTCCATATTGTTTCCTTTCTGAATCAAAATTCACATGCCTATTCCGTAACTACCAATATATGTAAAATAACAGAGTCATTATACTTAGAATATCTTATTTCCATATCTCATAACAAAATCTTATATTCATACAGTACTTCTTGAATTTCTGCCTCATATTATTCTATAACACCATGGAGGAAATTTGCATACAAATTCCAATTATTTAAAAGTGAAGCTTGTGCAGAAATGATAAGGGACATCTTTTCATTTTAATAGATGACAATTAAATTTATGATGAATATAGATTCTAAAATAATGTGTGCTGTGTAATTGCACAATTTGTACCTATATTGTGGTGTAAAGAGTTAATGTTCAGACATTTATACATTTGCAGCTTTCCGTATAACACCTAAAGCTAAACATTTCTTGAAAAAGAAATAATGGATTTAGTCTATAGAAAGTTTACTGCAATATTGGCCAATAAAGAAAGCATTAAATTGAACTTTGGATATATGTTAGTCATAACATAATCTCTTGATATATTAGTGGGTCAATAGTTCAGCCAAGAAAGGGACTCTAACTTGAGCAGACACTAATTAAAAGAATCAATTCTTATCCTACTACATATGTCCAATCATATTAACACATTTCTAGATTTCTTACTCAGTGGACTAGTCAAGATTAAAGGATTTGCTAATATGAAGGAACAGAGTATGCTTCCAAACTGACTGAGCAGATTTGTGAACAAATTAGTTCATTTAAAATTGACAGTGAAAGATTGATTTTGCACAGAATGAGTTACCTAAGGTATTCATCATTTCCTCTGCTTCTGCACACAAGACAGAGATCCGTTTCCTTCACTTTCTGATTGTAATAGGGCTGCTTACTGAGCACCTTTATTTTATAGTCCTGATTGCAGCCTGTCATTGCTTTTAATTCAGACATATTTTAGCCTCTTAGGCAGACCTTCAGAAATAACTTCCTTAAAAGCCTCAGAAAAATGACTCATTACACATTGTTCAATTCAACCATGATATAGATTATAATACAGGAAAAAGTTCTAATTGCACAGAAGATCCAATTACTCATAAGGCTATGTGACTCATTATTCAAAAGCTGGTACAAGCAGGAAATCCAGATGCAGAAACACATGTCCAAAGTTGAAGGTCAATACTCAACAACAAAACCTAAGGTATCTCACATTTAGTATACATTAGTATATATTGGTACATATTCAGTAAATACTTTATATAAAGGGTTATGAACTATATACAAAAAAAATGGAACAAGATGTGCCAAATGGCTGAGGAATTAATTTTTTAAATATAAGAAAATAAAATCAAAACTTTGTGGAAGAGGAAAAAAATTAGAACACCACCACCACAACAAACACAATTTAGAAAATAATAAAAACTAAATTAAAGGAAAATATATGCACTCATGCCATTTTACTTACAAAGACCTAGACTTCTGATATCAGAAACATAAATTATGGTAAGGTGACATTATATTTAGGGGGTAGAATTTTCAAGATTTATTAATGAATTAAATTTGAGATGGTGGGAGAGAGGAGGAAAGCTCTACATTAAATATTGCAAGGGAAGAGTTGGGAAATTTGGCCCATCTCAGTGTCCATTCATTCAAACATGGTGGATAAATTAGAGAAGAAATTATTTCACTTTTGAATATCTAGAAGATCAATAGGACATCAAACAGAGACATCTACAAGTGATTTGGATAGATATATCTGTGTTCATAAGTTATATGTATTGCAATATTACCTCTATTTTGCATATAAAATGAAAGGTCAGACAGAAGATACAATTTTCCGCAAGGTCTTATACTTAAAAAAAATACTGGATTAGATTATCTGACTTTAGATCAAATGTTCATTTGAACATAATAAGAGGGATGTGAGAGAGAGAGAGAGAGAGAGAGAGAATTTGTGTTTTTGAAACAACCCAGATTTCATCTAAAGAAATCTGATGGCTTTCCTGAGGTTTCTGTGAAATCTTGGGGTACCTCATATTCCCTTTGGGCTCTAAGTTGTCATTTCCACTGAATTTTCAGTTTTGCTGCATTTTAACACCCATGCCCTCCTTGATTCACTCCCTTTCTGGCTAAACAAGGAATTCAGCTGCCATTACCAAGTCAATAAACCTGTCTGTATCTGCATGCATATATTTTGTCTTTTTTTTTCTGTCATAATAGATAAAATCATTGTTCTAAGACCAAATCCACCACCTGTATACTAAAGCCTCCCCCCCAGAATCAAGGACCTCACTTTTATAGTTGTCTCCTCCCTTTCCCAAATCATTTGCCTTTCCTCACGATCAGATTATTTATTCATTAGCATAAAATCAATATGTATTTATGTATTTTATTTCAGAATATTATGGGGGTACAAATGTTTTGATGACATGATTTGCTTTTGTGCCATTTGGGTCAAAGTTATAAGTGTGTCATCACCAAGGTAGCATGCATTGTACCTGTTGGGTGTAAATTTACCCTTTCTCTCCTCCCCCTCCCACCTTCTGTTGAGTTTTAATTCCATATGTGCACATGGGTGTTGATCTTTTAGTTCAATTTACTAGTGAGTACATGTGGTGTTTTTTTTTCCATTCTTGTGAGACTTCAAAAAAATGTGCCAACCCAGATGGTTTCACACCAAAATTTTACCAGTCTTTCAAAGAAGAGGTGGTTCCTATACTGCAGAAATTATTCCATCACATTGAGAAGGAAGGAATCCTTCCCAACTTGTTCTATGAAGCAAATATCACCTTGATACCAAAGCCAGGGAAGAACACAACAAAAAAAGAAAATTACAGATAAATTTCCCTGATGAATATAGATGCAAACATTCTCAATAAAATCCCAACAAACTGAATTCGGCTACAGATCAAAAAAATAATCCACCATGACCAAGTAGGCTTCATACAAGAGATGCAAGCATAGTTCAACATATGCTAATCTATAAGTGTAACTCACCACATAAATAGAAGCGAAACAAAGACCATATGATCCTCTCAATGGATACAGAAAAAGCATTTAACAAAATCCAGCACCCTTTTATGATAAGAACACTTAACAAAATAGGCATAGACAGGGAATAGGTCAAAATTATAAAAGCCATATATGACAAACAAACAGCCAACATCATACTAAACAGGGAAAAATTGAAAGCATTCCCACTTAGAGCTGGAACCACACAAGATTGTCAACTATCACCACTTCTATTCAACATAGTGCTGGAAGTCCTAGCTAGAGTAATCAGACAAGAAAGGAAATCAAGGATATCCAGATGGGGAAAGAAAAGGTCAAACTATAGCTTTTTGCTGAAAACATGATCTTATATGTAGAAAACCCAAAGATTCTGCCAAAAGACCCCTGGAATTGATAAACAAATTTAGCAAACTTTCAGGTTACAAAATCAATGTAAACAAATCAGTAGCATTCCTATATACCAACAACAGTCAAGCTGAAGAATAAAATCAAAGACTCAATATCTTTCACAATAGCAACAAAGAAAATAAAATATCTAACAATATCTTTAAGGAGATAAAATATCTTTACAGGGAGAACTATGAAACACTTAGGAAGGAAATTGCAGAAGATATAAACAGATGGAAAAACATATCATGCTCATGGATCGACAGAATCAATATTGTTAAATATTGATTTATTGACAATATTTAAATACTTTGGGTAGTATATTTAATAATATACTTATATATTTAACAATATAACAATACATATATTGTATATTTAACAATATGCTACCCAAAATGATCTAAAGATTCAATGCAATTCACATTAAAATGACAATGTCATTTTTCACAGATCTAGAAAAAATAGTTCTATGCTTCTTATGGAACCAGAAAAGACCCTGAATAGCCAAAGCAAATTTAAGCAATAAGAATAAATCAGAAGGCAACGCTTTACCAGACTTCAAGTTATACTACAAGGCTATAGCAACCTTAACAGCATGTTACTGGTACAAGAACAGAGACATAGCCAATGGATCAGAACAGAGAAACCAGACATAAAACAATCCTTATATTGCCATCTCATTTTGACAAAGTAGACAGAAATATACACTGGAGAAAAGAATCCCTATTCAATAAATGGTCCTGGGAAAATTGGATAGCCACATGTAGAAGGCTAAAAAAATCAATATTTAATCATAATGATTCCTTTATGAATTTCTATAAAAATAATTCCTAAAAATTTCCATTCAAAAAACACCCCCAAATACACAACTCCCTTTAACTTGACAATTGTTGCTTAAACTCACTTCATTTAAATTTTTGCTTCCCGCTGCACACAAACTGCTCTTGTCAAGGTATTTAATGACCTCTACATCCTAAATTCAATAGTCAATATTCAGTTGTCAACTTATTTGACCTATTTGCATAGTGGATAACTTACTCTTTTTGAATCTCTTTCTTTCTTGGATTCTTAGACATCACTCTCTATAGGTTCTCCTCCTCCCTATTTAGCTGCTCCTTCTCAGTTTCATTTGCTGATTTCGACTCCTTTCCCCACCTCCTAAATGTTACAGAGTGCTCTAGAGCTCCATTCTTAGAACTCTTCTATGACTACCCACAGTCTCTTTGAGATCTCATGCCTCATGACTTTAAATCCCATCTATATGCTAATATTTTCCAAATGTATCTCAGGATCCGACACCTCTTTCTCAAACTCCAGACTTCTTCCCTGCCAAATACCTGCTCTCATCTCCATTTGCTTGTCTAATAGACATCTCAAATGCAATATGTCCAAAAGCGAGCTCTTCATTTCCAAGTTTCCGAAACTGCTTTCTCACTGACTTTCAATCTCCTAAATGGCACCTTCATTTTTCCAAACTGCAAGCCTCCCCACTCTTGCAATATTAAGCCATCAGCAAATTCTATTGACTCAAAAAAGAAAAAGCTAAATTTCTCCAACTTCCTACCCTGTCCAAGCCACATTATCATTCATGGATTAGGCAGCCTCTGAACTGGTCTTACTACTTACATTCTTGCCCCCACAAACATTCTCCACCTTGCAGCCATAATTACTTTGTAAAACACAAATTAGATCATGATCCTCATTGCTCAAAATTTTCAGTGGCTTCTGGTGTCACTCAGAGTAAAATCTAAAGTCCTTACCATGAACTATAAGACTTAAGTGGGTGGCTCACGCCTGTAATCCTAGCTCTCTGGGAGGCCGAGGCGGGCGGATTGCTCGAGGTCAGGAGTTCAAAACCAGCCTGAGCAAGAACGAGACCCCGTCTCTACTATAAATAGAAAGAAATTAATTGGCCAACTAATATATATACAAAAAATTAGCCGGGCATGGTGGCAAATGCCTGTAGTCCCAGCTACTTGGGAGGCTGAGGCAGGAGGATTGCTTGAGCCAGGAGTTTGAGGTTGCTGTGAGCTAGGCTGATGCCACGGCACTCACTCTAGCCTGGGCAACAAAGCGAGACTCTGTCTCAAAAAAAAAAAAAAAAAAAGACTTAAGTGATTTGGTCCCTATAAATCTATTGTCTTCAACAATTAACACTATCCTTCTTGTTTATCCTATTCCTCTTACACTGGATTCCTTGCTGTAATTTAAACTTCTAAGCACAATCCATTTGAGGGCCTTTGCTCTTGCTATTCCCTTAATAGAAATGATTTTTGTCCATAAAACCTCATGATTCCTCACTTATTTCAAGCATGCTCAAATATCATCTCTCTTCAATTGAATATAGGTTTGGCTGTCATAACAAAGTCCAAAATAATAAATCAAACAAGATAAAAGTTTATCTCTCTGTCACATATGAATCTGAGTATTACTGGTCCAAGGCTGTTGTAGCTGCCTCATAGTGTCAGAGACTCAGACATCTTTAATCATCTTTCTTAACCATCTTCAAAATTCAACTTCCATCTTTAGGTCTAGACAGCCACTACAACTGACACTATCATGTTCACCTTCTGAGCATTGGGAAAGGAGAAAAGACAAAGAGAGGCAGTGCTCACTTTTACATGTCATTTCACTTACATCCCATTGGCCAGAGCTTAATCACCAACTCCACAGGAGGCTGGGACATGTAATCTTAGCTGTGTGGCTATGTGGCCAGCTAAAACTCAAGTGTCCTATAACCTAAGGAATAAGAAAACATGAATATTAGGAGACATTAGCAGCTTTCATCACATTATCTTATCAAAGAGGCTTTTACCCAATATACATCAAACAATACTTCCCACCTCACTCTACAATTGTCTTTAATCAGCTTTATTTTTATTTATAGCATTCATAATTACCTCATATATTATGTTCCTTTGCCAATTTATCTTTTCTCACAGCACTATAATGTAAGATTCTTGAGAGCAAGAATCTTGTCTGTTTTAATCATGAGATCCCCATAGATATATGCACACAACCAATATATTTTGAATAAAGGAGAACTCTCCTAACATCCCTGAACCCATGGGAATCCCTGAAATGCACAGGAATTTTCTCTCATTCCCGTGCATTTTCACAACCTGCTCTCTACCTGAACTTCTCCATTGCCTTTCATTCACATAACACTAATGTCTATTTAAGATTCAGTTTCAGGCATTAGCTCATTCATAATGACTTTGCAGATCTTTTAAGTGTCTGTTCTGCACACTTCTAGTCCTGCAGTCTAGTCCTCCATTCCATTATCTGTCCCTGTTAGTACATTCCTAACTCCTTGAGGATAAAAAGCCATGTCTTATCTTTGTTTCATGAGTTCTTCATTAGTCAGGATTTTGACTATAATTGATTAAAACTCACTTCAAACTACTTAGCTATACATTTTTAAAAAGTTGTTAAATTCAATCGAGCATTGGGATGACTTTGTTTCATGTACTCCAAGGGCAATAAGACCACATCCTCCCTCACCGTGATCATTTCCAGTGGAAAAGTGAGTTTCTTCTGGTAGGTCTTTTTGAAGAATTGGCTTTTCTATCTTTTCTAAGAAACACTTGATCATCTTCTTTCAAGCATGGAGTTCATTTTATACTTTCTTTATATTTAGTAATGTTTTTATTTCTCTTTAGGTTAAAAGGTGGAGGATGAACATGACTCTCAATAATATCACCCCAAGATCTTTCAAAACCTTTCTAGGGAAAAACTATCACTGCATAAGTTTGCAATAAATTAAACCTGTAGTTCCTAAGGGAAATATTCACCTAATAATTATTATAGCTTGCTGTTTAATGTCACTCAGGAAGGCCAGAGAAGGACTGGACTCATTAAATCCATCTCAAATTAGGTAATAAAGTTTTGATTGGATGTCATTCTTGCCAATCATTATTACCCAGAAAGACGTTATGAAAGAAGTTGAATATTCTTTATTTGAAGTAGAAGCCCAGGTTGCTTGCCAAAAAGTGCACATGTGTTTTGGGAATGAGGGGTGGCCAATGCTGCTTGGAAATATAAAAAAATCAAAAATATCACAGGCAACACACCGAACCTAGGGTATAATATCTTAATGTTGTGTAATATTATTTTAAATAGGCAATATTGAAACAATGATGGATGGGGGCGGAGCAAGATGGCAGATGAGAAACACTGCCAGACAGAGTGTCTCTGCAAAAAAGACAGTTTCTAGAAAAAATTAGAAGAAAGAAGCAAGCATGCGAACATACATCGGACAAGGGTCAGAAGGAGGAGTACTGGAGACTACAGAGACTCCATGGGAAGAGGTTGTGGAGGAGAAATGAAAGAATAGACCTCGCAAGAAGCTTGGAGACCAGTGGCAATGGCTGGTGCTGCAGTTAACTTTCCCTTCCCTTGCATCTTGGACTGCTGGTGGGCACCCCAGCAGTTGTAGAGACTTACGGACACCAGCCCAGAGACAACCACCACCAGTGAGCAGTGAGTCTGTAATAGACGCAGCACCAGGCTCCCAACTCCCTCGGGGCACCACTGTGTGCACAGACCCAAGCAGGGTGGCAGGCGCCATATTGTTTCATTCTCCCCTCCCCTTCCCTATCCTCAGCTGCTGAGAGAGACAATATAGCCACCAGCTGGAGGCATCTCCAGGGAACAGGACCTTTCCTTTTGGGGCCCTTCAGCTGACTGAGGGGTACTTAGACTGTGAGTTCCCTAACCATCAGCCCTTGTAGGTGCTCCTGGCCCAGGGACTCCAGGAGAACGGGGCAGACCTTGCGGCTGAGAGACATCAACCCAGATTGGGCTCCCCATGGGTGAATTGGGACTGGCACTCCTCTCCCTGGTGGGGTCAGGGATTGAATTCCAGGGCCCAGAGGTCAGACCTGCAGACCAGATCCCTTACACCCAGGTCTTACATTGCCCAGAGCACAGAAGGGATATTTGTGAATGAGCCTACTGGGGTATGATTGCCTTCAGGGGAAGATCAGCATGCTTGAGGGCAATCCTCCTCCCAGAGGTGACCGTGTGCCCGGCCCAGGTGGTGACCCAGTGCAGGGAACCTCCTGGCCTGCATCACAGCCAGGGGAGACCCAGTGGCATGAAGTCTGGCCTGTTGGCAGAGGCCCAGGAGAAGCCATGGAGTTGGGGAGGGTGGAAAGGAGCAAGGCTTGCTCCAGACTGCAGGTCTCAGACAGCCCCATGCCCACACACAGACTGTCTGACTAAGTGGGGCCATTCCAGCACCTCCCTGACAGCTTTTCCCAGAAGCAGAGAACAGAACTTTGACTCCTACTAACAGCATTTGTGGTGCTTGAGGGCAAGCTTACCCAACCCAGCTCCATCCAGACTCACTCCCAGACCAACCCTCACTGAGAGAAAAGGACACACCTGGAAGTCCCACAGCCCCACTGACCACCTGAGACACTAGAGTGCCCCTCCAGAGGAACAAGAGCTGGTTACAGGACCCAGAAACAACAGTGTAGCCTGCTCCTCCCAGCAAGCACCACCTACTGACAGGGAAGACATTCTGCACACTCTTTTACAGCATCTACTGACTCATCATACAGGGTGTGGTCAAATCTCATCCACAAACACCACCTACTGGATCAGAAACTAAATAGGGCATGTCATTATCCAAATGAATGCCTAAAAGTAAAAAGCAACAAATGATCCAGATGGGAAGAAATAAGCGAAGGATCTCTGGAAATATGAAAACTCAAACAGAAAGCACACCCCCAAAGAGGAGTACCAGCCCCTTAGAAATGGACATCAACAAAATCAGACCACTAAAATGACAGAAGAAGTATTTCAAGCATGGATCGTAAGAAAATTCAATGACTTGCAAGAAAAACTGGATAACCAACACAAAGAAAACGCAAAAGGATTCTAGAACCCGGAACAAAAATTCACTAAAGAAATTGAAATAATGAAGAAAAATCAAATTGAAATCCTGGAAATGAAGATTCAATTCAGGGAACTACAAAACACAGTAGAAAGCCTCAAGAATAGGGTAGATCAAACAGAAGAAAGAATCTCAGAGATTGAAGATAACACCTTCCAATTAAATAAATCAGTCACTGAGATAGAGTAGAGAAACAAGAGAAAAGAGCAAAGCCTACAAGAGATGTGGGATGATGTGAAGAAACCTAATGTGAGGGTTATAGGGTTACCCAAAAGGGAAGAAGACAACACTCAAGGGTTGGACAAGCCATTTGAATATATAATAGAGGAAAATTTCCCAGGCCTTGGCAAAAATCACAATATACAAGTTCAAGAAGCTCCAAGGACCCCTGGGAGATTAAATGCAAATAGGAAGATGTCACAACATGCAGTCATCAGACTGACCAAAATATCAACTAAAGAGGCCCTTCTACAAGCTGTAAGACAAAAGAAGCAAGTAACATACAAAGGAAAGCCAATCCAAATAATGCTAGACTTCTCTACTGAAACTTTACAAGCAAGGAGAGACTGGGGCCCCTTTCTCACTCTTCTGAAACAGAATAATGCCTAGCCTAGAATCTTATTCCCTGTAAAACTAAGTTTTGTATATGAAGGAGAAACCAAGACATTCTCACATAAGCAAAGACTGAGGAAATTCACCAAGACAAGACCAGCCTTTCAAGAAGTACTCAAAACAGTGTTACCCATGGATCAGCACAATAAACACTCACAAATGTAAATCTACTCAAAGATAAAGATCAAAGCCCAGATACCACAATGACTCAAGAGAGAAAATAAAGCAACAAAGTTCAACCCAACATAATGAACAGAAATTTTCCCCACCTATCAGTTTTCTCAATAAATGTGAATGGCTTGAACTCCCCACTCAAGAGACATAGGTTGGCCGAATGGATAAAAAAATACAAGCCAAGTATCTGCTGCCTTCAAGAAACACATCTAACCTACAAGGATGCAGTTAAACTAAAGGTAAAAGGGTGGAGAACAATATTTCAAGGAAACGAAAACCAAAAGAAAGCTGGTACGGTGGTGCTGATTACAGATAACTTAGTTTTTAAATCAACAAAAGTAATAAAATACAAACAAGGTCACTATATAATGGTGAAGAGTACAGTTCAACAAGAAGACATAACAATTCTAAATATACATGCACCCAACCTTGTGCACCCAGATTCATAAAGCAAACTCTATTTGACCTAAACAAATGGATAAACAACACCATAATAGTTGGAGACTTTAACACCCACTGACAGTACAGGACAGATCCTCCAAACAGAAAATCAACAAAGAAATAATGGACTTAAACAGAACTCTAGAACAAATGGGCCTGACTGACATTTACAGGACAGTCTACCCCCAAACCAATGAATATATGACCTTTTATCAGCTCATGGGTCATTCTCTAACATTGACCATATCCTAGGACACAAAGCATGTCTCAATTTTAAAAAATAGAAATTATACCATGTATCTTTTCAGATCAAAATGGAATAAAAGTAGAAATCAACCCTAACAGGAACTCTCATTTCTACACAAAGTCATGGAAACAACCTTCTGCTGAATGATCACTTCATAAATAAGGAAATCAAGAATAAAATCAAAAAATTCTTTGAATAAATGACAAAGGAGACACAGTTATCAAAACCCATGGGACACAGCTAAAGCAGTCCTGAGTGGAAAGTTTATTTCCATAAATACCCATATCCAAAAGTCAAAAAGACCACAAATAGACAACCTAATGAATCATCTCAAAGAAGTGGAAAAAGAAGAACAGACCAACC